GGGTATATGAGCTCTCGGTTTTGCGATATTCTCTCGAATGAATAAATTTCCGAGACATCTAAAAATAAATTTGGACATTGTCACCAAGAACAAGCTTCTATTGCGAATTCTAAATTAGCATAGAAATCGACTGCCAATGGCATGTTACCGCATTTCTCAATCTTGTTGCCGAAATGTTCTGAAATGAAAGAAGGAAATCTTCTCAACGTGTGATGATGATTGAGTGAAAAATTGATGTCACAATTTGTTACGTAGAAACCTTCAAAAAATATTGCAGGCAGTTGGCAAAGAGAGACACTGGGTTTCAAAAAGATTGGCTTCCTGCGCGAATATGAAATGGTTTTTTATATTGGTTGGAATATCAGCCAATAATGTTAAGTTGATTTTTGCAAAAATACGCTTATCTCTGATTAAGTTGCTTACATAGTCCAATGTTATTCTCTGTACTACTACAAACTCTATGTGCAAATAGGTATATCCATCCATCAGCGATCCCCATCCACAGGATTATTAAACTGGCACCATTATTGACTAATATTGTGGCCAATGATATTTGAAAACAATGTTGTTGCTGGTAATTCTAAAGTTCTCGGTAAGAAGCATAAAATGTGAAAATTTAATATTTAAGTTATGAGTTTTTTCCCACAGATTATTGAAGGTGCTTAGTTAAGTCTAATGTTAACTAGCACTTTAAATACGTTCGAACACAATTAGACAAATAGTGAATCCTATGCCATGACGATGTCGGGATTGAAAACCCTTTAAAGTAGATGATGATTACAAGTGCAAAGGTCCAAAGTGTTTGCAAAGACATTTTTTCAAGCTGAAGAATTTCAGATATTGTAAATGTGTCGATACATTTTTATACATAATCAGAAGCAGATTTGATCCCACTTAAAAAAAAATACCCGAATGGAACACACCAAAGAGCTGTGACCGTGAAACAAACACAGTTTGTTAAAAAGAAGTTAACAAATGTTAAAAATAATAGGAAAATTTGTCAAAATTCAGAATGAATAAAATATGCCTCAATACCCTAATGCTAATCCCCAATATGCACTGAATCTACCCTCTATTAGTTTACAACACTGATGTTGCGATCTACATCTTGGCAACACCAGTTTGCGGCCAAGGAAGAAACTGTATTTTCCAAACCGCAGCCAGTAACATGTTGGGTTAGTGTTTTGCAGATGCCGATTATTATAAAATAGGTTTGTTTCATGTTAGGGTCAGGCAGTTATTTTTATATGAATAGGACTCAGCTTGAAAAAGTTATCATGTAATCCCGTTTACACGAATTCGTTCCGTGGTTTAACTTCTTGCAAGATACAGTTTTTTCAATTAAAAGCTTGAAAACGAAAGGTTCAAACTACGTTTTTGCCTCATAATGAGATTGCTGAATGCAAACGAAGGTAATATTAAAATAACTTCCAAGCCCTTAGTTCCGCGCAAATTAAATTAACAAGAATGAAATAAAACTTTTATTATTCTTCCACCTATATCCCGGG